GGGGCGCTACCTGGGGAGGAACTGGAGGAAAGGAGCTCCAGGCTGGTGAGCACCCCATTTTCATACAGGGCCAGTTTTTGGACAAACTTCTGCCGAGCAGGGTTAATGATGATCTGAGGCCTTGCGGAGGTGACGCTCTCTAGTTAAGAAAAAAGCCCCCACCCAGCAACAGGATCAGGAAGGAGCCCAGGTCGGACAAGAACAAGATGCAAACAGCAGCTCTCAAGCTAGTCTGACTCATTTAGATGTGGAAATCCCGTCTCCCTCCCTGTCCACTGGCCCCCTCCCTAGTGCCTACAAACATGCCCATGTCTCAAAAAAACCCTCCACTGACCCTTTCATCTATGCTAATTAATCATCCTATATCTCTTCTGCCACTTTGTAGCTAAACTCCTCCAAAACACTAGGCGCCTCCACTTCCTCTCCCCTCTCTCTTCTTAACCCCTTACAATCTGGCTTCTGATCTTCTGATGGTTCCGCCAAAACTGCTCTCTCCAAAGTTACCAATGATCTCTCAGCTGCCCAATCCAGTGGCCTTTTCTCCATCCTCATTCTCCTTGACCTCTGACACTGACGATGACCTTCTCCTCCTAGATGCTCTCTTCTCTCTAGGTTTTCAGGACACCCCTCTCTCTCTCCTGGTTCTCTTCCTACCTATCAGACCCTTCCTTCTCTGCCTCCTTTGCTGTACCATCTCCAGGTCACACCCTCTAACCACAGATGTCCCTCAGGGTTCAGTCCTGGGCCCTCTTTTCTTCTCCCTCTATCCTACTTCCCTTGGTGATCTCATCAGCTCCCATGGGTTTAATGACCATCTCTATGCTGATGATTCTCAGGTCTATTTATCTAAGTCTAATCCCTCCACCTGTCTATGGGTACATCTTAAACTCAACATGCCCCCCCCCCCCCTGAATTTGTTATCTTTCCTCCACAAGTCCCCCCCTTCTTCCTAATTTCCCTATTACTCTTGAGAGTACCATCGTCTTCCCAGTCACCCAAGCTCAGAAGCTATGTGTCACCTAGGTCTCACTTCCAACCTGTTACCAAGGCCTGCCAAATGTACCCTCTCATCTCTTGTATATGCCCCCTTCTCTCCCCAGTCCAGTCCATCCTCCATTTAGATGTCAAATGGATCTTCCTAAAGTACATATGACTATGTTTCCCCTCCCTCCAATTCAATAAAATCTAGTGATTTCCTATTGCTTCCAGGATCAAACAGGATAAGCCTTCTATAACCTCGCTCCCCTTCCCTACATTTCCAGTCTTCTTACACCCCCCCATCCATACAGTCTTTCATCCAGTGACACCGGCCTCCTGGTGTCACTCCATCTCTCAGAGCCAGGCATCTCCGGGCATTTTCTCTCGCTGTTCCCTGTGCCTGGAATGCTTTTCCTCTTCGTCTCGGCTTATTGGCCTCCCTCGCTTCCTTCAAGTCCTAACCAAAATCCCATTTTCCATAGGAAGCCTCTTTATTTCAGCTCCTTCCTTCTCTTAATTATTTCCTCCTTATCCTGCCTGGAGCTAGTTTATACATATTTATTTACTTGCTGTCTCTCGGATTAGATGGTGAGCTCCTTGAGGGCAGGGACTGTCCCAGGCTAAAATAAGGGGGTTGGCCTAGGTACTGAGGTCCCTTCCAGCTCGAGGGGCCTGGAATGGATCCTCAGTCTTCAATTAGATACCTTAACATAGGACTTTATCTCCTTAAGTATGGGAAAGATGCACCAGACTGAAGCCAGAAGCCTTCAGCCACTAGAGTCAAGGGAACTCTCAGTAACAGCTTGATCCTTCCCTGTTAAACCCTGTAGCATGGGTGCCCCTCCATCCACCCGCCCCCCAGCCCCACCCCAGCCCATGCACTCTTCAGATTTCTGGATGGAGGGGTCTCCAGATTACCTTCAGAGCTGTTTGGTCCACGTCCCAAGCTGCTTGCCTTTGCCTGGCTCCCCCAGCTCTCTCCTGGAGATGCCTCTGGTGGACAGGGAGTCTGCCTAAGAGAACACAAGGACTGAGCTCCTGCTCCCTCCGCTGGGCCACCAGGCAGGCTTGGCACCGACGGCAAGTCTTGGTTCAAATTCCAGGAATTGAGAGCATCGCAGAGGCCAGGTGTGCTCTCGTCACTTTCCACGGGTTGGTTGGGGCGATTCCCGAGCTGCTTTGACTCCTGAGTGTGGGCCCTGGCTTGAGAGCGCGGCACAGGGCTCCTAGCATCAGTTGCTGGGCTAGGGGTGAACATGTAAGAGTTCTCCTGAGGCGAGGCCGGGCCTCTGCTTCCAGCCTCTTGCTCGGACAGCCCCACTGAGGCCTGTAGCTTCTCTAGACTTTCATAGACCTGCAAAGAACAGAGGATCCTAGATTTAAAGCTGAGAGGCCAGCTAGTCCAACCCCTTTATTTTTACAGAGGAGGAAACTGAGGCCCAGGATGAGGAAGTGACCTGCCCAAGGTCACCCACAAGGATCATAGACTTAGAGCTGGAAGGACCTCAGAAGCCCCAGTCCAATCCCCTCATTACATAGAAGAGGAAATGGGGGGGCAGCTAGGTGGCGCTACAGTGGATAGAGCACCGGCCCTGGATTCAGGAGGACCCGAGTTCAAATCCAGCCTCAGACACATAACACTTACTAGCTGTGTGACCTTGGGCAAGTCACTTAACCCCATTGCCTAGCCAAAAAAATAAAACAAAACAAAAAACAAACAAACAAACAAACAAACAAAAAAACCAGAAGAGGAAATGGAAGCTCAGACATGGGGAGTGATTGGCCCAAGGTCACAGAGGCAATAAGTGGCAGAACTGGGCTATGAACCCCAATATGTTCAACTCAATGGGCAATGCCCTTTTGTTTTTGTTGTTCATTCATGCCAGTCGTGTCTGACTCCCCATGACCCCATTTGGGGTTTTCTTGGCAAAGATACGGAGGAGTTTGCCATTCCTTTTCCAGCTCATTTTACAATTGAGGAAACTGAGGCAAACACGGTGAAATGCCCAGAGTCATATAGCTAGTAAGTGTCTGAGGCCAGATTTGAACTCAGTCCTTCCTGACTCCAGGCCCTAGCTTTATCCACTGCAGCGCCACCTAGCTGCCCAGATAGTGCCCTATCCACTATTAATGAAATCAGACCCTCCTCTTTCGGGTTGTGAAAGGGCTGGGGATCAGACAGACTGGACTTGAGGCCTAATTGAGGCCTTCTTGGCCATATTAGGCCCTTTCGCCCAATCAGGTCACTGTAGTTCCTCATTGTCCTAAGGACTGGCCTCAGACTGCTGCTGTATCCTGCTCCCTGAAAAAGGCAGACAAGGCAGGGGCCCACCACCAACCTGCTGCAGAGACCCCACCATTCTCCAGATGACCTTTCCCCCCACCCCCACAACCCCCCAACTTCACCCATCCTCAATTAGTGGCAATAGGTCTCTTGGGTCAAGCTGTTGCATTTTTTTTTTTTTAGGCAGTTGGGGTTAAGTGACTTGCCCAGGGTCACACAGCTAGTAAGTGTCAAGTATTTGGTCTGAGGCCAGATTTGAACTCAGGTCCTCCTGACTTCAGGGCTGGTGCTCTATCCACTGCGCCACCTAGCTGCCCCATCAAGCTGTTGCATTTTCAGAAGGAAATGTGGCCATTACAAACTCAACACTTTACTCAACACTTCTGAGCTCAGAGTAGTCACCTGGGGCTCTGTGGCCTATGCTTGTACCAAGCTGCCAAAGTAACATTGGCTTTCAATGAATGATCTGCTTTTGGAAATGGCAGAAAGGAGAGGGCTCCATGCAGAAGTGAAAAGTGTTAAGGATCCTGCCTCTGATGCTAACTACCTGTGTGACCTTGGGCCCGTCCCTTCCTTTCCCTGGCCTCAGTTTCCCCCTCTGTAAAGTGAGGAAGTTGGACTAGTTGGCTGTGAAGGTTCCTCCTAGCTCTGAATCTAAGATCACATGACCTTACTCAGGTGGCATCAGGGAGAATGAGGAAGGACAGAGAATGCCTGACGTAGTGACCTACAGTGGACAGCAGGGGGTGCCCCCAAGGAAGAAGGCCCCAAGGAGCCTGTGAAATGAGATCTTTCCCCAACCCTCTCATCACTGCCACAACAACTGGAAAGAAACATCTAATGAACAAGGTGTGGGGAACCCCAAAATGCCCCCTCCTGTCACGCCCTAGCCACACCCTCCACCCCTCCACCCCTTGTCTGTTGGGCCATTCATTGCCCCTGGGCCTCCTTCAGCTCCAGGCCTGCTCTACCTTGGTCATGGGAGGCCTCCTCTTGCCCCTCCGGTGCAGGCAGCGGCAAGCCAGTCGGCCAAGCTCCTGGCCCAGCTCCTGAGGGCACTTTCCAGGCCTGGAGTCTGCATACTTTGCATAAAGTAGAGAGCCAATCTGGGTGGCCCTGGCTTCCAAGTCTGCTCCGGGCCCTGTTGTCATCCCTTTGCTGGGGGCTGGAGCGTCTTCTTCTTCTTCTTCAACCAAATCCTTCTGTGGGATCAAAAGTGGAGGCCAGCTCTGACATTTCCCATTGCTGTCACTTGGCCCCTTCCTGACTGCCTCTCAGACAGGCACCTTGGACCCCTCTTCCCACTTCTTTCTCCATTCCCCTCTTTCCAGCGATGTGGTTTTTTTTTTTTCCCCCAGATACTCAAAATACCTATCAATGGTTAAGTGACTACTCTGGGCTGAGGAAATAGAAATCTAGACCCAGCCCCAGCCTTCCCTCAAGGAGCTAACTTCTGCTGGGTTTTGTTTTCTGGTCAACAAATATTCGTCGAGCCAAACTTTATAACAATTTGAGCCCCTCAGCAATAGAACACCACATCTCAGTGGCTGTATGAGCCCTTGTCAGGAAGACCTAGGTTCACATCCCATCTCAGACACTTGCCAGCTGGGTGACCTTAGGTAAGTCACCTCAATGTCATGGGCCTGTTTCTTTCTCTCTCAAATGAGGGTCTTTGAGGCCCCTTCCAGTTCTCGATCTAGGACCCTATGATTCCTGTGCTGGATGGAAGGCAGAACTCAATGCCTATAGAGGGTCCTTCCATGGCGGAGATTCTGGGAATCTCATAGAAGGCACATGGCTTCAAATCACTCAAGAGGAGCAATCACAATAGTAACCAGGCAGTAGGATCATCATTTGGGAGCTGAAGGGACCTCAGAGGCCATCTAGACCAATCTGCCCTCTCTCCCATTTTATGGATCACAAAACTGAGGCTAAGTGATTCACCCAGGGTCACACACAGGGAACCTAGTAGAAGTGAGAGGGATCTTGGGGGTATCCAGTCAAACCTAGGCCTCTGCCTGGAGACCTCCAATGTGGGCACACCATCCTACTTGGGGGTAGCTCTTACTGGGCTTTTATTACTATCCCCCTTCATTTCCCAAGATTACTGACAGTAATTTTTTATTTTATTTTGTTTTTTTAGTCAATTGGGGTTAAGTGACTTGCCCAGGGTCACACAGCTAATAAGTGTTAAGTGTTTGGTCTGAGGCCGGGTTTGAACTCAGGTCCTCCTGAATTCAGGGCTGGTGCTCTATCCACTGTGCCACCTAGCTGCCCCTAGAGCTCTAATTGTTAAGAATCTGCTCTTCATATCAAGCCTCCATTGGCCGCTTTGCACTCTCCCTCCCTGGCTCCCACTTCTGCCCTTGGGCCAATACTCCTTCCATGTATCAGCCCTTTAGACACCTAAAGGAAGCTCTCATCCCCATCCCCCTGTCCCCTCCCAATCTGCACATGTCTTCTATTCTCCAGGCTACATGTGCCCAGTTCTTTTCATCAATCCTCATGTAATAAAGCCTCTGGGCCCTTCAGCGTCCTGGTCGCCCTCTCTAGACTCTTAATGTTCTTTATATCCACCATCTCGTTTTGGCCGCAGCACAACCTGGTGAGGTGGGTAATACAGGTATCCTAAACCTCCCCCCACCATATTCCAGATGGAAAGGCTGAGGCTCTGACAAGTTGAATGCCTTGCCAAGAGATACAGAGTCAGTATTAGATGCAGGATCTGAACCCAGGTCTCTCTGGACTAAGTCCATTGCCATAATGCCTCTATAAGTAGGGTCTCCCCTTTCAGTTTACAAAACGAGTTTCAGTATCATAAAAAAGAAAGCTCATTCCAAGGAGCAGGGAATAATCTCCCATTAGCCTGGGAGGTGGTCTAGGCTAGAAATAGGTTCAGGTGGATTCCAGGGAAATCTTAACTGACCTCTTAAAGGTGATCAGGGGGCCCAGAGATAACTGGGAGGTCATATGGGCTACATGGCCCAATCCAACTCAGGGGCCCAGGTGATAGGGCACTTCTGTCTTTCAGCCACAATAACAAAAACCCTCTCAGGGTGGGCCCTACCTTTTAGCCCTCCGTACTCTAGGACTCTGCCCAGCTGGCTGACTCCACCCTAGACTTGGTTTGATCCCAGTTGGGATGCTGATAAACAAAAGCCCTTTGAACCTGCAGGAGGTGAGACAGGTTCTCCTTCGAGAAAGTCACGTGAGGATGGGAAGGTTCTCTGGGCCCAACCTAGTCACAAAGGCATCCAGGAGCTCCCTGGCCCCCAAGCTTCTACCTGCCTCTCTGGATTTTCCCCTGTCTGTCACAAGGGACTCCTCCCTCCTGAGTTGCTCCCGGTGACTCACCAGGTACTTGGTTTTAGCCCCATCTGTCTCAATGGCTCGACATCCAGTCAGAATTTCCAACAGCACCTGAGGAGTAAGTAGGCTAGTCTTTATGAACAAGGCCTGGGACAGTGGAGGCACTGGAAATGGGAGGATGCTAGAAAGGGAAGGCAGGCAGGCTACGTCCCCAGGGATGGCAGCCTCCATACAATCATGCTGGTGCTAAGACGTGGCAGTGGGGTAGGCAGGAAGAGTCCTGTGTCTGGTGGTGACCTGGGAGGAACCCATCTCATTTGCCTTCTCAGTTGAGAAAGGAGATGGGGCCCCACTAGGCCTCAAGGCCTAGCCTCCATCCATGAAGCAGGATCTCCTTTGTGGCTAGTACTCTTCAACCAGCACCCTCCAACCTCCAGCTATGTGGGCAGCCTCAGGTCAAGATTTGCATCGCACAGCAAAGCCCCTGAGGGAGGGCCTCAAGCTTCATTAGTAGTTTGGCGGTCCAGGTTTTGAACTCTCCACCCTGCCCACCCCCCTTTCCCCCCAATCAGGCTATTCCTGTTGCTCCAGAGGCCTATCCAGGGCTCCTCCCTATCCCTCCCCTCTGGGGGCCAGACTCTTACCACACCAAAACTGAAGGTGTCAATCTCTACCGTCAGCTTCCCCGTCTTGACATATTCCTCAGGTAGGTAGGCCAGGGTGCCCCGAATGGTCTGAGTTCGGGCCAGAGAACTGCTCTTCCCAGAGGCAGCCCCTGAGTAGCGGCTGAAGCGGGCCAGGCCAAAATCTCCCAGTTTGGGCATCAACTTCTCATCAAGGAGGATATTAGAACTGGGGGAGGGAAGAGAGAGAAGGATCCAGAGGAAAGTCAGACTCATCCTTGCTGTCCACCCCAAACCACAGCCCTTGAGAACAATGTCTGAGGACCTTTAATCCCTACTTGGGACTAGGCCTTGCAAAGACTGCTTCAAGGCACTGGGGATGTTAAGCCTGGAAAGGATGAGATTCAGAGGAAATATGGCTCCCAAATTTTAGCTTATTAAGTAAGACTCCCAGCCTCATCAAGGCAATGATCTGTACCAAGCAGGCCACAAATTCTTAAGGGGAAGAACTGTTTTTGTTTGTTTGTTTTCGTTTTCACATTTGAATTTTTTAATATTGGGATTTGCAAAAAGCAGAGTATAGCTTGGGACCCATGAGCTTAGTGACCTCACAGGCACTGGAGTCCATTTGTAAATGCTGAGGAAATGGGTCAATGAACTTCAAGCAGAAAGAGGCCTCAGTATCCAACCTCCTCATTTTACAGAGAAGGAAACTGAGGCCCAGAGAGGGTCATAGGATCCTAGAGCTAGAGATGGAAGGGACCTTGGCAGCCTTGCAGTCTAACCCCCTCATTTTACAGAGAGGGAAACTGAGGCCCGGGGAGGGAAACTGATTTGTCCCAAGGCCACACAGCTAGTAAGTGGCACAGCTGGGTTTTCAATCCCTGCTTCTCCTCACTACAGAGTCAAAGCTTTCTAAAGCACCAGGTTCCACATGGCTTAAACCAGGGGTGGTCAAAATACTTTAGGGTTGACTTTGAAATACCTCTAGCATCTTTGAATATGAATAAGCAGACAACAAGGTTTAGTGCAAAGAACATTGGATTAGGAGTTAAACCTGAGTTCTAGTCTAAGATTTTCCACTTAAAGCTTTGCGCCCTTGGCATGTTGCTTAATTTCTTCAGGCCTCAGATTTTTCAAATGGAAAACGAGGAGATTAGACTAGATGATGTCTGGGGCCCCTTCAGCTCTAAACCTACAATCTGGGTTCAAATCCCCAGCTTTGTCTTGTGATCCTCTGTGTGACCCTGGGCAAGTCCCTTCTCCTCCCTGGGCCTCAGTTTCCTCATGTGTAAAATGGACAAGATAGCTTCTGAGGTCCTTTTGAACTCTTAGGTAATGAAAGCTGAGATTGAATATTTGGTGTGGCCCTAAGGGGCAGATTAGGAGCAGTGGGGGGGTGGGAGGGGGGAGTTGTAAAGATTCTGACCACTTATCCCAAAGGAGAAGGGATGATCTTTAAACAAAAGTTGCCAACTTGTGCTCAGGTCTGAGTCCCACCACGTGGCCTCAGACGTCCTTTTCCAATTCTGCCTTGGCAACAATCGGCCCAGCTGGTCACAGCATGAAGCTAGTCACAGACTTAGTCCCCCGAGTGAGCCGGTTAGCTCCGTTCTGTTTCCCAGAACGCAGCTGAAACTCAGTCAATTTCCACCGAAATTCGTGTTATCGTTGGGAAGAGGGATTGAGCTGGGAAGTATGGTTGGCCTTCACAGTCCATCCATTCCCGCTCCCAGGGATACCACCGAAGCCCATTTCTGACAGGCAGGGATCCTTTATAAATGAAGGGGGCTTGTTCCCGATTTACTGATTTTTGCCCCCTACCCATCCTTTTTTGTCTCCAATGGAGGGTCTCAAAACATGGGCTCCCAGACCAGATGGATGGGCCAAGTAATTACTTTATGCCACCTTCCCATCCTCCCAGCGGCCTGGGCTTAAGCCTTCAGGTCACCTTTCACTTTTCCTCGATCCCTAGATGCAGTTATTACCAACTGTCCTTTCACAACCTTAGCAGAGGCCTCATCACCTCTCTCTTGGACTATTTCTGGCCTCTTCCCCGTATTCTCCGCCCCCGCCCTCCCTCTCTCCTCTATCTTGCTGCTAAGCTTGATACATCATAGGTGCTAAGTAATAGCTAACTGTCCAATAGTAAAGACTGTCCTATAGCATTACCGGGGTCACACAGACACTAGCTCCTAAAGGGTCCGCCTCGCTTATTAATCTGTCACTGACAATATCCTGCCCTGTGATCCCTACCCAGGATCATCTATATCTCCTCAGTAACTTAGGCAAGATTTGAGCCTTTATCTCGCCGAATCCAAATCTACTCTTCTAGACACCACACCACACTGTCTCTCTAACAATGGACGGAGAACTCTGAGAATGTCCCCAGGACTGGTCCCTTCGTGGTCTTCGAAAATCTTTTCCTCACACTGAGTCAGCATGATAATTCCCTTTGGCCTCCTGGCATCTAGTCTCTCCCCGGCCAAAGTTCTCCTCCCATCTATTGGGTATTTAAAGCCCTCCAAAAGCTCGTTCGTCATCCCTCCCTCTCAGAATGCCCAGCTTCCTGAGAAAGCTCAGCCCCAGTACCACCTACTACACAGGACCCTTCCTCTTCCCCCACCAGCTACTAGTGCGTCTCCCTCATACTCCTCTGTACATATTTTGTATCTACTTACACGTATCTGCTTCCCCTGATAGAAAATAAACTTCTTGAGGGCAAGATGTGTTTCATTTTTGTCTCTCTATCCTCAGCAGTGGGCACAGTGCTTGGCACACAGTAGGTGCTTAATAAATGCTTGCTAAAATTTTTTTTTTTGGGTGAGGCAATCAGGATTAAGTGACTTGCCCAGGGTCACACAATAAGTGTCAAGTGTCTGAGGCCAGATTTGAACTCAGGTCTTCCTGACTCCAGGGCCAGTGCTCTATTTGCTAATTTGATAGGCTGTTTCTCCCCCGACATTCCCTCTTCCCTTAAATCCTCTCACCTTTTGACATCTCCATGAATGAGGCTAGGGTTGTCTTGATGTAGGAACTGAATGGCCCTCGCTGTGCCAAGCAAGATATCTACTCGTTGAGCCCAGGAGAGGAGGGAAGGATTCTGGCTCTGGAAAGAGAAAGACAGGTTAGGATGGAGAACTGGCAGCTTTCCCATGTCTACTGACTTGAGCAAGTCGGGTCCTATTTCTGGGCCTCAGTTTCCCTATTTGGAAAATGGGGCTATCCACCTTCACTAAGTAACAGGAATGTTATGAAGGGACCAGGACAATAACCTGAGAATCCCATATCCACAAGGTAGGCTTTTCTAGCCCCAATTCTCCCTCTCACCCAGTCTCTTACCAATTCTTCCCCCTCCCTCTCATCCCCCATTTTCCCACTCCCTTCTCTATTCAGTGGGCTTACCATAAACCTCTGGTTAGGCCAGGGGGTCCTCCTCTCCCTTTTCAGGGGGAGGGATTCTCAAGATCCCTTGGCAAGCCAAGAAAGCTATGAAGTACTTTCTCTACAAAGGTTTTACTCCTTAGTTATCTGTGACAATCGAGATGAAGCTACAGCAAAAAGCATTGGTGGCTTCTAACATATATGAGCTCCATTTTAGCAAGGTGGGATTGTCCAAGTCTGCAGCAGTGGGATTTTGAGTCACCAAGGGACTCCGAACTGAAATGCAGAGCAGGAAGATTTCCCGGATTTCACTGTCTGCCTTTTTCCTGGGCTTCCTTTAAGTTTTATGTATCCCACGTGCTGTTTAACATAAAAAGCCCTTTGCCATCTGGCTCTGGCCTATCTTTACAGGCTTATAGCACAAGATCGCTTTTCAAACTGGCCATTTCTCACCTCCATGCTATTGCTGAGGCTGTGCCCCATGCCTGGAATGTTCTCCCTCTTCAACTTTTGCTTTTTAGCATTCCTGGTTTCCTTCAAAGTTAAGCTCAACCATTTGATTTGCACACTCTGCCCTCTCCCCAACTCTTTTTACTTCTCATAGCTTATTTATTTGTTTATCTATATGTCTGCTGTTTCCCTGTAGTAGAATGTATGCTCTGGTCAAAGATATGACCTAATGGTTTTGAAAAGAAGAGATGCCTAGTCTCTCTGATAAGGGCCTCATTTCTAAAATACATAGAGAATTAAGTCAAATTTATAAGAATACAAGTCATCCCCCAATTGATAATGGTCAAAGGATATGAACAGGCAGTTCTCAGATGAAGAAATTAAAGCCATTTACAGTCATATGAAAAAATGCTCTAAATCACTATTGATTAGAGAAATGCAAATCAAAACAACTCTGAGGTATCACATCACACCTATCAGATTGGCCAACATGACAAAACAGGAAAATGATAAATGTTGGAGAAGATGTGGGAAAATTGGAACACTAATGCATTGTTGGTGGAGTTGTGAAATGATCCAACCATTCTGGAGAGCAATTTGGAACTATGCCCAAAGGGTTATAAAAATGTACATACCCTTTGACCCAGCAATAGCACTTCTAGGGCTATATCCCAAAGAGATCACACAAATGGGAAAAGGACCTACATGTACAAAAATATTCATAGCAGCTCTTTTTGTGGTGGCAAAGAATTGGAAATTGAGAGGATGCCCATCAATTGGGGAATGGCTGAGCAAGTTGTGGTATATGAATGTGATGGAATATTATTGTGCTATAAGAAATGATGAACAGGCTGACTTCTGAAAAACCTGGAAAGACTTGTATGGTCTGATGCTGAGTGAAGTGAGCAGAATCAGGACAACATTGTACACTGTAACAGCCACATTATGCGATGACTAATATTGATAGACTTAACCCTTCTCAGCAATACAAGGATCTAAGACATCTCTAAAAGCCTCATGATGGAAAATGCTATCTACATCCAAAGAAAGAACTATGGAGTTTGAATGCAGATTGAAGCATACTGTTTGCTATTTTTTTTTCTTCTATTATGTTTTGTTTCCTCTTTCTGGTGCTTCCTCCCTCCTATTGGTTCTAATTCTTACTTACAACAACATCACTAATGTAAAAATATGTTTGATAGGAATGTAAATGTATAGCCTATATCAGATTGCACACCATCTTGAGGAGGGAGGTGGGAAGGAAGGGAGAGAAAAATTTAAAACTCAAAAGCTTATGGCAGTGATGGTTGATAAATAAAAATAAATTAATTTAAAAAAAAAAGAAAAGAAGAGATGCAAACTATAGTTCAGGGATGGGGAGCTTGCAGCCTCCAGGCCACATGTGGCCCTCTAGGTCCTCAAGTGCAGCCCTTTGAATGCAAACTCCACAGAACAAATCTCTTTAATAAAAGGATTTGTTCTATAAAACTTGGACTCAGTCAAAAGGCCACACCCCAGTCACATGTAGCCTTACATTCCCCACCCCTGCCATAGTTACATTAAAGAAAGTGCCAAATCACTAATAGTAAGAGCAATGCAAATCAAAACAACTCAAAGTCTCTCTTCATGCCCAACAAATTGACTAAGATGACAAAAGATGGAAATAGTCAGTGTTGGAGGGGCTGGGGAAAGACAGGCACACTAATACTTTTGTTAGTAACTTGGTCCAACCATTCCGGTAAGCAATTTGGAATTATGCAAAATAAGTGATTAAAACTGTCCACACCCTTTGACCCAGAGATCTTACTGCTAGACATAAACTTTCAAGGAGATCAAGACAGAAAGGTCACAAATTGTGATATATTAATGTCATGGAATATTTCTACTTCACAAAAAATGATAAATATTAGGGGCAGCTAGGTGGCACAATAGATAGAGCACCGGCCCTGGAGCCAGGAGGACCTGAGTTCAAATCCCAGCCTCAGATACTTGACACTTACTAGCTGTGTGACCCTGGGCAAGTCACTTAATCCCAGTTGCCTTGCCAAAAAAAAAAAAAAAGATAAATATGAATTCAAGGAAGCATGGGAAGACCAACATGAACTGATGCAGAGAGAAGTAGGCAGAATGAGAAAAACAACATACACAATGACTACCACAATGTAAATGAAAAGAACCAAAAAAAACCCCCCAAGTTTTCTGAATTGAAACCCAGCCTCCCCAATGTAATGTGAATATTGGGTAACTATAATAACCAAGCTTGGCCCTAGAGAATGTTGAGAAATTGTCCCTCTGTCTCTTCATTGCAGAGGTGGGGAGACTAAGGGTATGGAATACTGCACATATTGTCAACGGGTCGGTGAGTTTTGCTGAACTGTTTTTTTCCCATTTCTTTTTTAATCTTTGTTAAAAAGGATGGCTAGATGGGGGTGGGAGATGGATATCTTCAGAAACGAAGGTGATGTAACCAAAGACATCAGTCTAAAATGAAAGTAAGCTCTTTGAGTGTTGGAGTTATTTGTTAATATTCCCAATACCTGGCACGGTGATTAGCACACAGCAGATGACTACTGCGTGGACCTGGGTTTCATCTAGCTTCTGGTGTCCCCAAAGCAAGGATCATGTCTGGGAAGCTGCACAGGGACCAGGGTTGTTTGACTAGAGAAAGTCAACATTACCCAGTTGGTTGAATACCTACCTGAGAGTGGAGCTGGTCCTCCAGGGAGCCATTGGGTAGGAAGACGTAGACCAGGCAATAGATGTTGTCTTGAATGCAGTAGCCAGCAAAGTCCACGATGTTTGGGTGACGGAACCTGGTTGAGCAAGGCAGGGCCAGAAGTTGTGTGAGAATACAATTCTTTCTTTCTTTCTTCTTTTTTTTTTTTGGCTAGGCAATGGGCTTAAGTGACTTGCCCAGGGTCACGCAGCTAGGAAGTATTCTGTGTCTGAGGCTGGATTTGAACTCAAGTCTTCCTGAATCCAGGGCCAGTGCTCTATCCACTGTGCCACCTAGCAGCCCCTAGAACACATTTCAAAAAAGGCGCCCTGATTATTGCTAACTATCTCTCTGCCTCAGTTCATGATACACAAACCAAAGGGCCACCCTATTGCCAAACAGGGGCAGGGTGTATAGTACAAAGAACCCAGGTCTCGAAGTCAGGAGTCACCGGTGACACTTTGGATGATGAGGACAATGACAATAGCTAAGGGTTATATAGTGCTTTAAAGTTATATCATTGAATCCTCCCAACAATCCCACAATACTTCCATTTTACAGATGAGGAACTGAGGCCAAGAAAGATCAAATGACCCACCCAGGGTTTGAACCCAGGTCTTCCTGACTCTATGTCTGATGCCATATTCCCTTCTCCGGGCCTCAGGATTCTCACCTCTAAAATGACAGGCTTGAACTAGATTGTCACTGTCATCCCTTCCAGTGATCAGTGCAATATGGTTATCCTCAAGGGTTAGCTAGCTCTGGCTCCTGCTTCCCTCCCCTCACATCCATGGCCTTCCTCCCCCCTAAGCCTACAACCGTCCCTCCTTCCCCCTGCCCAACTCTCCCAGGGATTCCAGCTCAAGGTGGGGCTTTCGCAGCTCACCGAGACAATTTCTCCACTTCGGTGCCAAAGCTCGTCTTGATGGTATTCCATTCCAGCTCGGCATCCTATAGCCAGGGTTAGAGGAAGGAGCCTTCAGCAGCGTCCCCCTCTCTGCCACCCTCCCCAGGGACATCCCTCTGCTCTGGCAGACCATTCCAACCAGACACTTACACCGTCCTCAGGTCCTCCCTGGATTTCTAAACTTTGACACAGCTTTGGACCTCTCCCTCCCCCATCCCAACCTGTTACTCTTCAAACCTCCTTGAGCCTTTTAACAGCATAGGAAGTGTTTCTCATCACAGCCCGGTACACGCAGCCGAAGCCTCCCTCGCCAATCTTCAGCTCCTCCGAGAAGTTACAGGTGGCCTGGGCAATCTCAAGGAAGGGCCAACGGAAGGGGGATGGGTTGACACACTCCACTGGGGAGATTTTGTTTTCTTCTCCTTGCTGCAAGAGGAGACCCCCACCCCCAAGGCTGGGTGAGACTGGAGCATATAGGAGCCCACTGCCTCCCTCTGCCCAGTGGCCTCAGGCATGCCACCAGGCCACTCGTGGGGGCCTGCCTCTTTCTCTACAGGAACTCAACTCTGCCTCGTTGTGTTGGTGACACCGAATGGTCAATAAGCTAGTGTCCCTGCTCTTGTCTTTTTAGTTGAGTGGAGGAGACAAGACTTACTTGTGTACAAAGAGGAAGAATTATCAGGCAGGCTATGCCTAGAGGTCAGCCCTAGTCCCCAGAATCCTTTCCTTCCCTGTTTCAATTGAATTCGACAAATGGTGGCTGAATGACTTGACACACCGTGTATTCCTGTGCAAAACACAGGGGAGGTCCCTGCCATCTTAGTGGACCTGCCCCAGGCCACACAGGTAGTAAGTGGCAAAGCTGGGATTTGAACTCAGGGCCTCTGCTTCTGTCCCTTAAATCCTCTCCACCTCTACTGAGGCTCCTCAAGCTTTGGATGGCTTGCTTTGCTTCCTGTTGCCCATCCTTTCTCCCTGAGTTATTCACATTTTTTTCCCTCCTGAGATTATCATGTAGACTCAGTTTCCTCATCTGTTAAATGAGAGGGTAAGATTCTAAGGCCCCTTCTTCCTCCAGATCTGTGGCCATGTTGTTGCTCTTGGTGGAATATAAGTTTCTCAAGGGAAGGCTGGGTTTTGTTTCCAGCACATAGTAGGCACTAAATGTAATTTAATTAGACTGTCTTGGATCCGAATGTAAGCTCATTGAGGGCAGGTAGCGATTGTTTTCAGTTGTGTCTTTATAAAGTAGGCTCCTAGCTCTCATGCTGGAAGGGCCCTCAGAGGCCATCCAGTCCAACTCCTTCATTGGAGGAGGAAACTGAGGCCCAGGGAGGGGAAGTAACTTCATCCAGGTCACCCAGGTAGGAAGTGACAGAGTTGGGATTCGAACCCAGAGCTCTTTCCACTGTACACACTGCCTCCCTCAAGGTACTTAATATATCTGTTGAAATGAAATGAACTGTCTGTCTCGTGGACATTCTCTTTCTTCCCCACTGGATGAGGGGGTCTCGGTGGGAGACTCCTATTTCCAGTCTCTTCCCCCAGTGCCTAGGTAAGGGCTCTGCCCAGTAGGGGCACTCGGGGCAGATTGAGGGAACACACATACCTTTGTGGGAGAAGAGGAGGTGTTAGAGCCGAATGGCCCAGCCCCTTGGGGTACAGGGCTCGGGGTAGGGCAGGGGAAGGGCCAGGAGTCTGAGGGGAAACCTGGAAGAGTTTGGTAAGGGAAAGAAAGTAAAATGTGATTGGATTATCCCAGACCAGGGCCTCCCCAACCAAACCTGGCCACCCTTCCCCCTCCATCCCGTCAGCTTCAATCTGATGCCCAGGCCCAGGTTCCTCTGCCCCTTTCTTAGGGACTGGACAGGCTGAGGAGGACTCCCTGATCATTCGGCCCACTAGCCAGAGGCTTTTTGGCTTGAAGCAAAAATCAAAAATAAATCTATGGGGGGGGGGATTTCTACTTGTTTACAGAAGGATTTGACATTCCAGAAAGGTCTCCCCGAAGCCAGCTCTTGGGTTTTACCTCAAAAAGAAGCCAATTTACAGAAATCCAAAGGACACACAGCTTTCTAGGAACACAGCTGGCTGCACTAAGGCCAGGACAGAGACCTGGGGCCTGGTATCTGAGAGGGAAGGAAGGCTCTGAAAGGACCCCCCTTTCCTTTTTCAGAAGGAGGCTTCATCCTAAGCTCAGGATCTGCGCCCCCCACCTGTCCACGACAGCTGGCCCAGGGGATATTAAGGGGACAATGTTTCACCCTTCTCCTTCAAGAAGCTCTGGATTCTCCCTCCCCAAATACAGTGCCCTATTACCTGGGGAAGGGAAGGTCGAGGCAGACTGTGGCACCTTTGGAGGCCTGGTTCCCTCTTCCTTATGGATGCTAGTGGGCTTTGGGTGAGGAGGGGGCCATGGAGGGGTGGGTGTGCTGGTTAATGAAACAGCAAGGGATAATGATGGGGGCTCAGGGTGCCCTAAAAGTATAGGGAAGGAAGGAAAAGACACAAAGATACTGTTATAAAAGCAAGAATGATAGAAGGCAATGATATGGGATATGTGTAGGGGGATAACATGCTTTTTCCCTCCACTCCATCACCTTCTTGGGGCCAAGGGGAGGGACATAGGCCTGCCTCCCTTCATAAGGGTGGGGTGAGGGAGATCCTCTCTCGGGGGGGGGGGGGGCGGGGGGCGCTATTTCGGGGAGCCCATCTGGGGCTTGGTTGGGGTGTGGGAGGCAGGGGGAAAGTCCCTTGGACTTTAGGGCCCAGGGCCGAGGTTAGTTGTTTGAATTGAAACTCAGCCTCCTTTGGGGCTGAAGCCTCCCCAATCCAACTATTCTTCCCCAAGTCCAAGCCTAGGACGGGGGGGGGCTTTAGGGGATAGCTGGGGATTTGACAGAAGAAAGGGAGGGGTATCACTTGGGCATTGATAGATAACACAGGTAGACACAGGGTTGGGTATATGTATGTGGGGAGATTGGGGGATGGGGGGGGAGGCTCACAGCTAGTGATGATGTCTCGTGCTCGAAGCAGTTGGAGGTGAGTGAGGATATGAAGGAGGTCAGCAACCCGGGCATTTTTGTTAATCCAAGGCCACATGATCCTGGCTGTTCGATCGTAAAAACGCTCTCCCAACCGAAGTTCTGTCTGGTCCTGAACAATGAGGGACGCTGACGAACAAGAAAACGGGTCAGCCCCACACAATCCAGCCAAAGCTGTCCTTAGGGGCTATCTTGTCAAACGCAGGTTGGGGCTTGGCTGTTGGCTTTGGTGACCTCCCATCAGGCCTCCCCCAGCCCCAACTCTGACCACAATCCCTGCTGTGACATGGAGCCAGCACTGGCCCTGTCCTAAGTCACTCACACCTGGGCCCTGCCCATGGACAAGGAACCCTGGGTTTTGAGCCACAGAACCTCAGTTCTAATACTGACTCTGCCACTAATTTCACTGTGTGACCAAGGGTGAGTCACTTCACTTTTTCTGAGCCTCAGTTTCCTCATTTGTAAAATAAGGGAGCAGGAGTAAATAACTACCAGTCTCCTTCAGTTTTCAATGCCATTGGTGCTCATAGCCCCAAGTCACCTGCAAGAAACAATTTGAAAAGCTTCTGGGAACAAATTGGGTAGGAGGAGGGAGAAAAAGCCATACTGGCTGCTTTGCCGGCCTGACCCCTTCCCCAACAGGTTCTTTCCTGCCTTCTTGCCATCTTCCTCACAGTCTCTGGCCATCTTTCCTCTCCTCACATTGAATGCTGGCCCTCTTGACCTCACTCTTTCTGGCAAGGAGTGGGGGTGGGGGCAAGAGAAAGAGTCAGACTTGACCTCTTGGACTCCTCCTGCATGGTCCTAGTTTAGAGCAGGGTCAAGGGAATAGATGAGGGAGGACAAAAGGAAGCTTTTCATTTAAACCTTCACCTCAATTTCCCCAGCTCAGCTCTGTCCTCCCTCTTCCGCAAGGACCCACAGCTGCCAAGCTCAGGACTCATGAATTTTTGTAGCCTCTGGGCAGCCAATCTCTAGAGGTCCTGAGCTCGAATCCCTTTCCTACCTGTCACTCTGGGAAAGTGGTCCCTTCTGGGCCACCTCTCTGGGTCTCAGTTTCCCCTTCTGTCAAGTAAAAGGCTTAGACTAGATGACCTCTAAGAAAAATGGTGTAGATAGGGTGCTGATGGAATCCACACACTTAGTAGTTGTGAGACCTTAGGCAAGTCACTTAATGCCTCTGAGGCTCAATTTCCTCATTTTCCATTTGTTCTTGGAGGCAACAGGGAGCCGCTGGAGTTTATTGGGTGTGTGTATGTGTGTGTGTGTGTGTGTGTGTGTGTGACATGATAGGACCTGAACTTTATAGGAAAATCACTTTGGTGGCTGAATGGAAGATAGACTGGCTGGGGAGAAACGAGGCAGGCAGACCGCCCCCCCCCCCCCCCCAGCAGTTATTACAATAGTCCAGGTGTGAGGGAATGTCAGAGGAGAGAATGGGGCATATTCCAGAGATAATGGGGTCAACTCTTATCGTTCTAGACACAATCCCATGCTCTTGAGGTGGTGTCCTATGATTTTCCCCGTCCCATCTCCCTGGCACGGGATTCTCCATGCCGATCACAGAGAGAGAAGGGCACGGGCGGCCAGGGAGAGAAAAGAAGGTGACTACGGGGGGTGTGGGGCGCGGAGAATTTGGGGTCGTTCCGATGCCCCGAGTGGTGGCTCAGAGGGTCACAGCCAGGGGCGAAAGCAGAGGGAAGGGTCCGGGGAAGGCTAGAGGAGGCCAAAGCGCACCGGCCGTTCTCAGCCGCCGGGCCCTTTCCTATCTCGGCGCCCAGGGCTGGGCTGGGGGAGGGGGAGCCCCCGCTTCCCTCCCGGGCCACTTCCCCTCTCCCTCGGGCTGGCCCGCGGCCCCAGCGCTACTCCCTGGCCGTGCCCCCTTTGCCTGCCTCCTCACCGAACTTGTACCAGTCGGTCGACTCCAGGGAATCCATCACTTGGTAGAAGCGACACATGATCCAGGCTGGCACCTCGTATAGGAAACGCTGGGAAACGGAATCCCCAGATCCCCCCGGGACCGCCCCCTCGGCCATGATCCTCCTGCGCGGCCCGCCGACGCCGAGGCCAAGGCCAAGGCCACGGCCAAGGCGGGGGCCAGCCAGCGAGCGAGCGAGCCCCGGGGCTTCAGGAGCGGGCCGGGCCTGGCGAGCCTATGAAAAATGAGTCACTTCCCCTTTAAATGGATCCCTTTAAACCTGATGCTGGCGGGGGCGGGGATAGGGAGAGGAGGCGGGGTGGGAGGAAAAGACAGAGGAAAAGACCGCCCCCTCTCGCTCCCGCCTTCTTCTCGGGCAGCCACGTCGGGCGAGGCTAGGGGGTGGGGCGGACTGTGGGGACGTCTGCTGGGCGTGGCCTGGGAAAGCTGCCTGCTTTTTCTCTCCTCCCCCGCTCCTTCCTCTCCCCCTCCTCTCCCCCTCCTCTGGGGCTCGGAAAGGTTGGAAGCCTTCCAGCCGCCTTCCGGCCCCAGGCTTCCAGGCCAATGGCTGAGGCGGCCAGGCTAGGGGAACTCTGCTTGCCATCTAATTCCGCAATCAGGAGGGCACAACTGCGTGGGCTAGTGGAAAGTGAGCTAGCTGGAGCTGGCCTCTAGTATCTGACTCTGCCACTAACTTGCTGTGTGGCCTTGGGCAAGTCCCTTGCCTTCTCTGGGCTTCAGTATCTGGTTCTGCAAAATGAGAGGGTTGACATCTTAAAATACAGAGATGCATTTTGGGGCATGGTCAGTGTGGGAATTAAGTTCTACTGGACTACACATATTTATGATAAAGTTTTTATTTTATTTTTTATCCAAAGGCGAGGCCGCAAAGGGGGTGGTGGTCAGGTTTTGCATCATTGTTTAAAAATGAGGGTTAAGGGGCAGCTAGGTGTCACAATGGATAGAGCACTGGCCCTGGAGTCAGGAGGACCTGAGTTCAAATCTGGCCTCAGACCAAACACTTAGCTGTGTGACCCTGGGCAAGTCACTTAACCCCAATTGCCTAAAAAAAAAAAAAAATGAGGGTTAAGCTACATCACAGGATCTCCTCTTAGAATCATGTTTTAAATGCATGAAATAAAATCCATAGGATTAGAAAAGAATCTTTATAGAGTCCAAGTTAAGAACACCTGGAGTTGTTTCCTGGGCCTTGTGTGTATATATATGTATATATATTATATATATATAATATACATATGGATGTATATATATATATGTGTAGATGAGAGAGGACAAAAGGAAGCTTTTTATTTAAACCTTTACCTCAATTTCCCCAGCTCAGCTCTGTCCTCCCTCTTCCGCAAGGACCCACAGCTGCCAAGCTCAGGACTCATGAATTTTTGTAGTCTCTGGGCAGCCAATCTCCAGAGGTCCTGAGCTTGAATCCCTTTCCTACCTGTCATTCTGGGAAAGTGGTCCCTTCTGGGCCACATATACATACACATATATACATATATATGAAACATTCTGGGACTAAGTGCTCCAAACTCTGCTGATGTAGAATGCTGGGACTGCACAGGACTTGACAGCTTTAGCTGCTGTAGGTATCGAGGCCAATTACTACCATGCATTTAATGTGAGAGGATGAACATTGTTATCTCTGTATGAAAGGGCTCAGAAGCCTGAGATGTACATTGGAAAGAGCACAGGCTTTTAAGTCAGAGGACCTGGGTTCAAAAATTCCACCTGGTGTATTACATTTCCCCCACTTTTGTTTCTTCATTTGTAAAACAAGTGAATTAGATTAGGAAGTTTGGGAGAGCCATGATCTAAGGTGGGAGAGGGCCTGGAATTGTAGCTGGATCTCTCTACATTCCATCAGAGCTAAGGGCCTAGCCTGAAGGGGGAGGAGCTTATTGGAAGATGGTATCTGCCCCTGTCTAGTGACAGTCTAATGACATCTACTAGGATCCAGGCTCTGTTGGGTATGTTGTGGGAGGAGGCTGCTGTTAGAGACTCCCACCTCCCTCACTTCTCATCAGCTCCTTAAGCTCACAACCTCTCTCCCACAAATCTTTTGGTCAATGGGGGAAACAATTTACTGCATTCCAAAAGCATTTTATGCTGGGGGAGCGTGGGAAGGAGAAAATTTAATCCTAACTTTCAGAAAATAAAAATGTCCAAGTTGTCTAAACTCAGTCACAATTCAAGGCTCTCCACTCTGTGGTCCCAATGTACATTTCCATCCTTAAGTCGTGCTGAATGCTGGACCTAGAGTCAGAAATCCAGCTCTTATTAGCTATAGGACCTTGGTCAATCCAGCTCTCTTTCATTTCCCCATTTGTCAACAGAGAGGGTGTATCCTCTGCTTTGGTTAGGCTATTCAGTCATTGTTCCCACATAAATAAAGTCATTCTCACCTGGTTTCTAGCTACCCATCCAGCCCCCATCTTCTACTAGTATAGTCTCCTCCAGGAAGATTTCTGGTTCACTTCAGCCCCAAAGCCTCATGATCTATGCTGTTCATCAGCTCCTAGGGGACAGGGTCCCATCTTTTTGGGGTGTGATCAGACTGGAAGTGCCCCCCTCCTGTCTCCTCTCCCCTCCAACCCTTTTGGACCTAGAGCAAGTCACATGGGAAGGAAAAGCTCAGTGAAGAGGGGCCAAGAGAACCTACTAGAATGACTTTTGAAAGGGGGCTGTTTGCTTCCTAGCAGGAGGAACTGGCAATCTTAGGGTTAGGGCCCTGGCAAGAGGGAGAAACAGTGTATCTGTGTGGTTCAGCTGACAACTAGGTCAGACAACCACAGCACAAGCTAGGGTGGGGTGGGAAGGGGAGGGGTGGGCAGCACCCAGGTCAAGAAACCATTCCCTATGTGTCTTGGGGAAAAGAAAGGTGGCTACGAGGGGCACCTAGTGCTTGGCCCATAAAAGTAAGCAGGGGGACCCATTAAGGTGGCCCCAACCCCCTAAATTGCCCATTTTCCAGGCCTAGCAGGTTCAATGAGTGGGCCAAAGTTGATCTTTCTGGCAGGAAGGACAGTACGGTGGGAGGGGGAAAACCTAAAGTGGTTGAATTTGTTGTAAAAGGGCTAGGGGAGTAGGAGGAACAGGAAATTACTGAGGAGATAATGGAAAAGAGGACAAGCGGGGGG